CCTCTGCCTCCACAAGAAGATTTCCTCTTTGGTCCCTAATCGGCCCCACGCTACCTCTGACTAACCTTTTATTCTTTATATGCTGATAAAAATCCTTAGGGTTCCCTTTTATGTTACCCGATAATCTTTTCTGATCATAATAATAATAATAATAATAATAATCCTCACATTTGATATAGTGGTTTTCTTGCCTTCTCGACGTCTCAAAGCGCTTCACAGAATATACTGTAAAGTGAATTTTGTGGGTTAAACGCAGCAGCCAATTGCACACAGCAGCGTCCCACAAACAGCGTCACTTTCTCCTCTGTACTTTCTATATTCTATTTGATTATCTTCTGTATTTTGGACCTGACATTTATTTTAAACCTTTTTCTGATTTATTTTAATCCCAATTTCCTTATCCATCCAGGGAGGTTTGGATGCCCTCCTTTCTCCTTTGTGGGAATGTATTTATTCTGTCCCCGAACTATCTTCTCGAAGGTTTCCCGTTGCTCGTTAGCTGTTTATCTGCCAATCTTTCTTTCCAGTCCACCTTGGTCAGGTCCCTTTTTAACTCACTGAAATTAGCCTCTTCCGGTTGAGTATCTTCACCTTTGATGGTTCTTTGTCCCTTTCCATAACTATTCTAAACCTAATGATGTTGTGGTCACTGTTGTCCAGATGTTCTCCCACTGAAATCTGCTCCATTTGCCCCACTTCATACCCCAGAACACACGCGCACACACAGACAAACACACACAGACAAACACACACAGACAAACACACACAGACAAACACACACAGACAAACACACACACACAGACAAACACGCAAACACAGACAAACACGCAAACACAGACAAACACGCACACACACAGACACAGACAAACACACACACACACAGACAAACACGCACACACACACACACAGACAAACACACACACACAGACAAACACACACACACAGACACCGACAAACACACATACAACAACAACAACAAAATTCCATGTATAAACAGCATTTCACATTGGGAGGACATATCAAGGCTCTGGACAGACAGAGTTTCAGACTTGAGCTGGGGGTCAGGGTTGGGGAGGCAGAGGGCAGGGGGGAAATGGGGGTGACTGAAGGCTCGGTTGAAGAGGAGGGTCTTGAGATGGGTCTTGAAGGAGGTGAGGGAGGGGCGAGACTGAGGGACTGCGAGATGGAGTTCCAAAGGGTGGGGGCAGTGGCAGAAGGCCCACCCGCCAATAGTGGGGTGAGCGAGGCGGGGGACGTGAAGCAGGCTGGAGCCCGCTGAGTGGAGGGAGCGAACAGAATGGTGGGGGGTTAGGGGGTGGTAGAGGTCGGGGGGAGCCAGACCATGAAGGGCTTTGAAGGTGAGGAGCAGGATCTTGACCTGTAGCCTCTGTGTGATGGGGAGCCAGTGCAGTCAGGTGAGGGTGGGGGTGAGGACACGGGCTGCAGGGCTGGTTCTGGGGGGTCTGCAGGGCTGTGGAGGGGGGGGTGGTGTAGTCGAGACCGGATGAGAGTTTATGTGATGTCAGTGTGCGGGGGGCAACTCTGGACCTGCGCAGTGGGACACAAGCGGCAAATGGGCTTCACTTGGAGGCCCCACTGTTGTGATTGTGTGTGTGTGATCGCCTGTGTGTGTCTGAGTGTGATTGTGTGTCTGTGTGTGCGTGTGATTGTGTGTTTGTGGGTGCGCCTGTGTGTGTTGTCCTGTGTTTGTGGGTGCGTCTGTGTGTGTTGCCCTGTGTTTGTGGGTGCGCCTGTGTGTGTTGTCCTGTGTTTGTGGGTGCGCCTGTGTGTGTTGCCCTGTGTTTGTGGGTGCGCCTGTGTGTGTTGTCCTGTGTTTGTGGGTGCGCCTGTGTGTGTTGCCCTGTGTTTGTGGGTGCGCCTGTGTGTGTTGTCCTGTGTTTGTGGGTGCGCCTGTGTGTGTTGCCCTGTGTTTGTGGGTGCGCCTGTGTGTGTTGCCCTGTGTTTGTGGGTGCGCCTGTGTGTGTTGCCCTGTGTTTGTGGGTGCGCCTGTGTGTGTTGTCCTGTGTTTGTGGGTGCGCCTGTGTGTGTTGCCCTGTGTTTGTGGGTGCGCCTGTGTGTGTTGCCCTGTGTTTGTGGGTGCGCCTGTGTGTGTTGCCCTGTGTTTGTGGGTGCGCCTGTGTGTGTTGCCCTGTGTTTGTGGGTGCGCCTGTGTGTGTTGCCCTGTGTTTGTGGGTGCGCCTGTGTGTGTTGCCCTGTGTTTGTGGGTGCGCCTGTGTGTGTTGCCCTGTGTTTGTGGGTGCGCCTGTGTGTGTTGCCCTGTGTTTGTGGGTGCGCCTGTGTGTGTTGCCCTGTGTTTGTGGGTGCGCCTGTGTGTGTTGCCCTGTGTTTGTGGGTGCGCCTGTGTGTGTTGCCCTGTGTTTGTGGGTGCGCCTGTGTGTGTTGCCCTGTGTTTGTGGGTGCGCCTGTGTGTGTTGCCCTGTGTTTGTGGGTGCGCCTGTGTGTGTTGCCCTGTGTGTTTGCGAATGTCTCTGTGAGAGTGTGTCTCCCTGTGTCTCTGAGTGTGTTTGTGTTTGTCTGTGTGTCTCTCTCTCTTCCCCTCTGTGTTTGTGTCTCTCTGTATCTCTAAGTGTGTATCTCTGTCTGTGTGTGACTCTCACTCGGTGTGTGTGTGGTGTTGGGCCCTGAGAGCTCCTGTGGCCTCGCTGGTGTCTCCCTTCGCCCCCCAGAGCCCCAGGAATCTCCTGCATCATTTCCCGAGCTGCACATTAACCCGTTTTATCTTCTTGTTCCTAAACGCACAAACGTGGCACTGGTAATAATCCAGAGATTTCACCTTTGATGATCTGCCCTTTAGTCTCCTCCTGGTCCAACATGGACCACGACTTCTGGCTGTCGCCTTACCCCTCCCCCCCGCAGAAAGGTTTGGAGCTGTTCTGTATCCAGTACAAATAAAATGCCTCCCAGGACTCACTGTAAAGCATAGTGACTTGGTGTAAAGTGTAGTGACTGTGTGTTTAACGTGGCAGCACCCCCACCGTTTGCGCACAACGACGTCCCTGTAAACAACCGCAAAGCGAGGACACCGGGAGAGAGAGAACTGAGACACAGAGAGAGAGAGTGAGAGAGACTGAGAGTGAGAGACAGAGAGTGAGAGAGACAGAGAGAGTGAGAGAAACTAAAAGAGAGTCAGAGAGAGAGCGAGAAACTGAGCGAGAGAGAGAGAGTATCGGTGGGAGAGTGACTCAGAGAGACGGAGAGAGAGAGATTCCCAGGAAATCTTTAACGTCCGCCTGATCAGGGCCCAGACTGAGCGAGAGAGAGAGACTGAGGCACCGGCTGAAACCCAGCAAACAGTGACTGTGTCTCTCCCTCTCTGACTTTGGTGTCAGGCTCTACCCCTTAAAGCCGCTATGTAAACGCACTCGTGTGTTTGTCTCTTTATCTCATTCTCTTTCCTTTCCAGAGAGCGGAGTACACAGGAGGTGGACTGATACTGTGAGCGGAACAGGAGACGACGGAGGGAGAGAGAAAACTTGTGTACTTGCTTGTAATGTGAACTGTGTTTATCAGGAGTGAGAGAAAGACTGAGAGAAAGAGAGAGACACACACAGACAGTGAGAGTGTGAGGCACAGAGAGAAAATGTGTCTTCTCACTTCTGTGAATCTAACTCGGGAATGAGTGAGAGAGAGAGAGACACACAGTGAGAGAGAGAGAAACTGAGACAGATTTCGGCAACAAACCCACTCTTTCGCTCTCCCTTTTTCTCAAGCTCTCTTTCTATTGCTCTTTCTGTTTCTATTGCACTCTCTTTTTCTGGTTCTCTTTTTCTCTATTTTCCGTCTCTATCTCTCTGTTTCTTGCTCTCTTTTCCTTCACTCTTTCCACATCTCTCTTTTTCTGGCTGATCATGGGGAGGTGGGTGGGGTGGGGAAGATAGAAGGGGGAAAGAGAGAGAGAGAAACTATAGTTTGATAGACCCTTCCAGCTCTATTTGTCTTATTGCATACCACAATCTCTCCATGTCTTGAAGTAAACATTGTTTCTTCTCACTGTGTGAATCCCTTTGAGTCAGTTTCACAACACCTCGCTCACACTTGCTTGAACCCACAACCTTCTGACTCAGAGGCAAGAGATTGCGAGCGACTGAGCCGTTAGCAATAACAATAATCCTTGCATTTGATACAGCGCCTTATCACATCGTTGAGACGTATCAAAGCGCTGCACAGAGCATACAATATAGTTACTGTGTGTTTTGTGGACGAAATGCAGCAGTTAATTGCAGTGTCCCACAAAGGCATGGTTTGAGTGATAACTTTTTTTGAAGGAATTATTACCCCCAGAAAGCAATCCTCCAATTGACTAACAAGCAGGTTCATACTTACTGCGAGGAAAACAGAGGCGAGTGGAGTTAGGAAACTTGATGAAAGTTTCGCCTTAACTGGTAAATTGTGAAGAGAGTTGGTTTAAAAGAAAATTTCCAGTGTAGTACAAATATATGAATGTGATTTTGTACTGTAGCTCAGTGATTAGAGGACCTGGGTTTGATTCCTGGGAAGGGCCAAAGCTTCCGCAGGTTTCCTCACTCCACACGCCTCTGATTATTTAGCAGTAAATGGGAACCTGACTGTCAGTCGATTGGCGGATCGCTTTCCGGGGGTAATAATCCCTCCAAAAAATAATAATTTTGTCACTCAATCCATGACTGTTTGTACACACTGTGTGCGCAATTGGCTACGGCGTTGTGCCATATACAGTCACTCCACTTTACAGTATATTGGGGTTGGGCCGTGTGTGGCCCGCGGGCCGCATGTTGACGGCTCTGTCCTGCAGCCCAGAAAAACGACGTTTCCCAGCAGGCAGCGCGGCTCGCAGTTTGCGTGTGAGGAGCGACGCGCTGACGTCATGACGTAGCCCGCGCCGACCGGCGGGAAAGGAAACCATCGCAGAGCGACACTGCGGTCACTGCGGAGGACACCGGAAACCGGGACACCGCGCGGTCACTGTGGGGGACACCGGACACCGCGCGGTCACTGTGGGGGACACCGGACACCGCGCGGTCACTGACGGGAGAATCGCTTTCTCGCCCCCAAAAGGCTGTGGGTTTTGGATCTGTTCCCATTTGCTGAGCTGATGCGGTGGCGGTGCGGTGCGGTGGCGGTGCGGTGCGGGTGCGGTGGCGGTGCGGTGGCGGTGCGGTGCGGTGGCGGTGCGGTGCGGGGGGTCAGGGACACGGGGGCACAGGCGGGAGAGTGGAGATGGTGCAGAGCTTCAGGGGCTGAATGGCCGCCAACTGCTCCTTTGTAAACCCTGAACTGCACTCCAGTCTATTCCACACTCTCACAGAGATCCCCACAGGGAGACCCCCCCCACAGGGAGACCCCCCCACAGGGAGACACCCCCCACAGGGAGACCCCCCCACAGGGAGACCCCCCCACAGGGAGACCCCCCCACAGGGAGACCCCCCCACAGGGAGACCCCCCCACAGGGAGACCCCCCCACAGGGAGACACCCCCCACAGGGAGACACCCCCCACAGGGAGATACCCCCACAGGGAGACCCCCCCACAGGGAGACCCCCCCACAGGGAGACCCCCCACAGGGAGATACCCCCACAGGGAGACCCCCCCACAGGGAGACCCCCCCACAGGGAGACCCCCCACAGGGAGACCCCCCACAGGGAGACACCCCCCACAGGGAGACCCCCCCCCCACAGGGAGATACCCCCCCCCCCCCACAGGGAGATACCCCCCCCCCCCACAGGGAGATACCCCCCCCCCCACAGGGAGATACCCCCTCCCACAGGGAGATACCCCCCCCCCACAGGGAGATACCCCCCCCCCCACAGGGAGATACCCCCCCCCCCCACAGGGAGATACCCCCCCACAGGGAGATACCCCCCACAGGGAGATAACCCCCACAGGGAGATACCCCTCCCCACACAGGGAGATACCCCCCCCACACCACAGGGAGATACCACCCCCCCAGGGAGATACCCCCACAGGGAGATACCCCCCCACCCGCAGGGAGATACCCCCCCCCGCAGGGAGATACCCCCCCCGCAGGGAGATACCCCTCCCACAGGGAGATACCCCCCCCACAGGGAGATACCCCCCCCCAGGGAGATACCACCCCCCCCAGGGAGATACCCCCCGCCCACAGGGAGATACCCCCTCCCACAGGGAGATACCCCCCCCCCCAGGGAGATACCCCCCCGCCCACAGGGAGATACCCCCCCCCTCAGGGAGATACCCCCCCCACAGGGAGATACCCCCCCGCCCGCAGGGAGATACCCCCTCCCGCAGGGAGATACCCCCCCACACACACACAGGGAGATACCCCCCCACACACACTCAGGGAGATACCCCCCACACACACTCAGGGAGATACCCCCCCACACACACACAGGGAGATACCCCCCCACACACACAGACACCCACACACACAGACACCCACACACACAGACACACACACCCACACAGACACACCCACACACACAGAGACACACCCACACACACAGACACACCACACACACACACACACACACACCCACACGCGCCTCTTGCAGTCAGTAGGAACCCGGATGTTGGTCGATTTGGGAATCGCTTTTCTGGATTAATAATCCCTCAAAAAACTAATAATTATTTGGTCACTCAATCTCCGGGTGTGTGGGACAGACGCTGCTCTGCGCAATTGGCTGCTGTGTTTCGCCCACAAAATATACAGTCAATTCACTTTACAGTGTATTCTGTGAAGCGCTTTGGGACGTGATAAGGTGATATATCAAAAAAAACAAGAATTATTATTAACAACAACAACATGCAGAGCAGAGTCCCAGAGTGATATGTAACAACAACAAAATCACATTTGTATTGAGCCTTTCAAGTCGGGAGGACGTCTATATATATATAAATACTACATTTTACAGTAAATCCCACAATTCTGAGATGTCACAATGATGATAAGGCACTTATTCAAATGCAAGGATTATTATTTTTGACGTACAGGTAACTATTGTTATGGATGTACAGGTGACTTATTTGCTGTACAAGAAGCAATGTGTACTCGAGCCCTTCCCACATCAGCAGGACTTGGACCTCACAGTCCAGGTTTCATTCTGTGAAGCAATTTGAGAGTCTCTGGTGGGAGTGAAAGGACTCGTGTAACTGTAAGCATTGAATCTCAGGGATATCCTCCCGACCTGAAAGGCGCTTCACAAATGTAATTGTGTTGTTTCTAATGTCTTTCTCTCTCTGTGTGTCTCAGATGAATACAGACGGAGCTCTGAGCCGGGCTCGGCCACGGCTGCTGGAGGCTGCCCACCTCCTCACCCCCAGCCGTCTTTTGCTCCCGAGCCATGTGTCTGATTGTCGGAGTCACTGGCTTCAGGCGGGATGTACCACGTCTCCAGAATCAGTAGCTCGGTCCAGCCAACTAACCCAGAATGTTTGGAATAATATCCTCTTCCCCAAAGCCCCCACACCCAACACAGCCCCCAACAGCATTCCTCTGCAGCTGTCCTTCCAGCTCTCACCTCTCAGTGCAACTCCAAGAACACCAACGCTCCCCCCAGCGCAGCTCAGCCTAAAGCCAGAGAGAGCCAACGGGCAAGAAAGCGAAGAGAGGAGAGAACAGGTCAGTGTCTAACCCCGGAGTTTATGGGGAGGGAGAGGGGGTTATATATCCCTCTCACACTCACTCCATCTGGATTCCACCAGGCGTTTGGGGATTTTATATAGAATAGCGCACACTGTCTGGGGTGGGAGTGGTCACAGCCCTCACCTCGAAAGCGAGAGACCTGGGTTTGATTTCCAGGCAGTGCAAAATGTTGGGCAAGTTTCCTTCCTCTACACACACACACAGACAGACAGAGACACACACACAGACAGACAGAGACACACACAGACAGCCAGAGACACACACAGACAGACAGAGACACACACAGACAGACAGAGACACACACAGACAGAGATACACAGACAGACAGAGACACACACACACAGAGATACACAGACACAGAGACACACAGAGACACACACAGACAGACAGAGACATACAGACAGACAAGACACACACACAGACAGAGACACACACAGACAGAGACACACACACACACGCGTCTCTGTTTACCAGCAGTTAGTGGGAACCCGGTTATTAGTCGATTGACGGATCACTTTCCGGGGATAATAATCCCTCCAAAAAAAAAGCACAGTCACTCAACCCACGGCTGTGTGGGACACTGCTCTGCGCAATTGTCTGCTACATTTCGCCCACAAAATACACAGTCAATTCACTTTACAGCGTATCCTGTGAATCGCTTTGAGATGTCTCGAAAACGTGATAAGGCGCCGTATCAAATGCCAGGATTATTATTATTATAGATTAACCCACCCTCTGGGGTAGGGCTGGAGTCTAAAGGGACTATTTTTAAGGCTTTATTGGATGACTCCAATGGATTTCCCGAGTACTGCCTCTCGGAGGAGGGATATGAAGATATGGAGGTGCCGGTATATCCCGAGGGATTCAGCGAAAGTCCCAAACAAGCCATGGAGCAGAGCGAGGAGCTGAGAGAACGCAAGGTGAGGAGACACTTCACACTGTGTGTGTGTCTCTGTCTGTCTGTGTGTGTGTGTGTGTTACTGCATGCGTGTGTCTCTGACTGCATGCGTGTCTGTGTGTGTATCTCTGTCTGTGTGTGTCTGTCTGTGTGTGTCTGTCTGTCTGTGTCTCTGTGTGTGTGTGTCTGTGTGTGTGTGTCTCTGTCTCTGTGTGCGTGACTCTTGTGTGTGTGTCTATGTGTGTGTGTCTTTCTGTGTGTGTGTCTCTGTGTGCGCGTCTCTGTCTGTGGGCGTGTGTGTCTCTGTCTGTCGGTGTGTGTGTGTCTCTGTCTGTGGGTGTGTCTCTGTGTGGGTGTCTGTGTGTGTGTCACTGTCTGTGTGTTTCTGTCTCTGTGCGTGTTGTATCTGTGTGTGTGTGTGTGACTCTGTCTGTGTCTGTCTGTGTGTGTGTATGTGTGTGTGTGTGTGTCTGTGTGTCTCTGGCTGTGTGTGTGTGTGTCTCTGTGTGTGTGTCTGTGTCTGTGTGGCATCCTCTCTATCTGTGCCCAGGGCTCCCTCTGCCTTCTTGTCCTCCTGGACCTCTCCGTCGCTTTCATCAAAGTCGATCACGCCATCCTCCTTCCTCACCTTTCCTCCATCATCCACCTCAGTGGGACCGCACTCGCCCGGTTTGAGTCCTACCTCACAAACCGCCCGCAGTACATCTGCACAAACGGCTTCTCCTCCCGCTCTCACCCGGTCACCTGCGGGTACCCCAAGGATCCATCCTTGGCCCCCTCCTCTTTCTATTCTACATGCTCCCTCTTGGGGATGTCATCCACAGACATGGGGTACATTTCCACATGTATGCGGATGACACCCAACTCTCTTTGCGGCCCCCCCCCAGTATCCTGATGTTCTGCCTCTCAGACCTCAGGGGCTGGAGATGAGCACCAACTTCCTTCAGCTGAATGTTGACAAGATAGAAGCCATACTCTTCAGCTCTCGTCAACGTCTAAGATCTCACGGCTCTCACCTCCTCCACTTCTCTGACCTCCCCCTAAAACTCTCCGAGCCCGTACACATCCGAAGCGTCAGATTCGACCCCCAATTATCCTTCCTCCCCCACATCCGGTCCCTCACCAACACCGCCTTTTCCCACCTCCGTCGCAATGCCCGTCTCCGCCAATACCTCTCCCCAAAAGCCGCTGAAACTCTGGTCCAGGCCTTTGTCACCTCTCGGCTGGACTACGCTAACACCCTCCTCACCGGTCTCCCCTCCACCGCCATCCATAAAATCCAACTCATTCAGAACTCTGCCGCCCGCATTCTCACCCGCACCAAACTCCACTCCCCGATCACCCCATTCCTGGCCCTCCCCCCCACCCCCAAACCCCACTCCCCGACCCCGACCCCCCGGTCCTGGCCCTCCCCCACCCCAAACCCCACTCCCCAACCCCCAGTCCTGGCCCTCCCCCCACCCCCAAACCCCACTCCCAACCCCCCCAGTCCTGGCCAGACTGCACTGACTGCCTATCCCAGAGAGGATCCACTTCAAGATGACACGGTCCTTGTCCAGCGAGGACCCCCTCCCTGTTAGGGCCTTGGCTGTGGGGTTAACAGGAGCTGAGGGGGGGGATTCCCTGCCCCCAGGGACTGGTCTGTCCTTCCAGGTCCTGCCCATGAGCCGGGCCGGGCTGGGCAGGCGTCGGCAGTGAGCGCCCTGGGACACTGCGGCCCCTCCTGGCTCAGGAACTGGGACTCCCTCCTCCCCTGATGTCTGTGTCTGTATCTTACAGAGAGATCTCATCAGCGCTGTGTGTTGCTCTCTGATTGATGGGCCAGACTTCTCCCGAACTGAAGATCCCTCACGTCTCAGACTCCAAGGGATTTGCCAAGACATCGCAGGACACGATCCTGAGTTCATTCTGAAGGTAACTGTGAGAGAGACTTGGAGAAAGTCAGGGGATGAAGTGAGTGTGAGAGGGAGAGAGAGAGAGATTCGGATGGGAGTCAGAATGGTGTGAGTGTGAGAGGGAGACGGAGAGAGACTTGGGGGAGTCGGGATGACTTGTGGTGACTAACTCTGGCCTCTCCTGACTGACTGCAGGTCGCTCTCTACACCCGACAGGAGCTAAATGTGCGGAGTACAGCTAACTTCCTGCTGGCTCTGGGAGCTTGGCTTCCTCAGTGTCGTCCTCATGTCCGACGATATTTCTCTCGCTCGGTCCGACTCCCTTCAGACTGGCTACAGGTGGCAAAGCTTTACCAGGTGACACCTGAGCTCTGGCCCTCAGAAACCTCCACACCCACATCATCCCAGTCTCTCTCTCAATCCGTGTGTCTCTCTCTCTCTCTCTCTCTCAGTCCATCTCTCTCTCTCTCTCTCAGTCCATCTCTCTGTCTCTCTCTCTCTCAGTCTGTCTCTCTCTCTCAGTCCGTATGTGTGTCTCTCTTGCTCTCTCTCAATCTATCTCTCTCTCTCAGTCTGTGTGTGTGTGTCTCTCTCTCTCAGTCTGTGTGTGTGTCTCTCTCTCTCTCAGTCCGTATGTGTGTGTCTCTTGCTCTCTCTCTCAATCTATCTCTCTCTCTCAGTCTGTGTGTGTGTGTCTCTCTCTCTCAGTCCGTATGTGTGTGTCTCTTGCTCTCTCTCTCAATCTATCTCTCTCTCTCAGTCTGTGTGTGTGTGTCTCTCTCTCTCAGTCCGTATGTGTGTGTCTCTTGCTCTCTCTCTCAATCTATCTCTCTCTCTCAGTCTGTGTGTGTGTGTCTCTCTCTCTCAGTCTGTCTCTCTCTGTCTCTGTGTGTGTCTCTCTCTCTCTCACAGTCATTTTGTCTCTCTCTCTCTCAGTCTGTCTGTGTGTGTGTTTCTCTCTCAGTCTCTGTCTCTGTCTCTCTCTCTCAATTGTGTGTCTCTCCCTCTCAGTCGGTCTCTCGCTCTCAGTCTGTATGTCTCTCTCTCTCTCTCTCTCACTCTGTTTCACTTTCTCTCTCTCAGTCTGTGTGTGTATCTCTCTCTCTCTCAGTCTGTGTCTCTCTCTCAGTCCTGAGTTCAATCCCCGGCAGAGGGCGAAACCTTGGGCAAGTTTCCTTACTCCACACAGAGCCTAATAATAATCCTCTAAAACCAAAAACAATAATAAATTGGTCATTTTCAATCCACGACTGTTTGTGGGACATTGCTGTGCGCAATTGGCTGCCGCGTTCGTCCACAAATATACAGTCAATTCACTTTACAGTGTGTTCTGTGAAGCGCTTTGGGACGTCCTCCCGACGTGAAAAGCGCTATATCAAATGCAAGGATTATTATTATTATTATTATTATTATTATGTGTGTGTCTCTATGTGTATGTGTGTCTCTCTTTAAGTCTGTCTCACGCCCTCTCAGTCTGTGTGTGTGTGTCTCTCTCTCTCAGTCTGTGTCTCAGTCTGTGTCTCTCTCTCTCCCTTAGTTTGTATGTGTGTGTGTGTCTCTATCAGTCTCTCTCTCTCTCAGTCTGTTTGTATGTGTCTCTCTCCCTTTCAGTCTATGTCTCTCACTGTCTGTGTGTCTCTCTCAGTCTGTCTCTCTCTGTGTCTCTCTCTCCCACTCAGTCTGACTCTCTCTCGCTCTCTCAGATCTGTGTGTGTCGCTCTCAGACTGTCTATCTGTCTCAGTCTATGTGTGTCTCTCTCTGTCTCTCTCTCTCTCTCTCTCTCTCTCTCTCTCTCTCAGTCTATGTCTCTTTCTCACAGTCTGTTTGTCTCTCTCTCTCAGTCTGTCTCTCTCTCTCTCTCCTCTCTGTCTGCATGTCTCTCTCAGTCTTTCTCTCTCTCTCTCGCTCTCTCTCTCAGTCTATGTCTCTCTCTCTCACAGTCTGTTTGTCTCTCTCAGTCTGTGTCTATCTGTCTCTTTCGCACTTCGTTGTATGTTTCTCTCCCTCGCAGTCTGTCTCGCAGCGCCTTGGGACGTCCTCCCGACGTGAAAGGCACTCTATAAATGGAATCTTGTTGTTGTCTCTCTCTGTCTGTTTCTCTCTCTCTCTCTCTCTCTCAGTCTATGTGTGTCTCACACTGACAAGGTCATATCTGACCACCATTTCATCTCCCTCAACTCCCATATCCCTCTCCCCACTTCCCCCAAACCTACCACCATTTTCTTCTGGCCGTGGAAGATCTCCCCGCAATCCCTCTCCGCTGCCCTGGAGTCCTCTGATCTCCTCCCACTCTGGCCCACCTCTCGCAACAACCCACTCATTGCACTCACTCTCCTCCAGAGCACCCTCTCCACCACACTCGACGTCCTTGCCCCCCTCACCTCCCGATCTGCCTCCTATTCCTGATCCTCACCCTGGTTCACCAACCACCTCCGCTCGCTCAAAGGCCAGGTGCGGGCTGCCGAACACACTTGGCTCAAATTCGCTCTAACAATCCACCGGCACATCTGGCTGGACCTCATTAAGACCTCCCGCTCTGCTCTCGCCTCGGCCAAATCAGCCTTCTATTCCAGGACAATCCTGGAGGCGAAAGGCGATCCCAGGCTCCTGTTCTCCACCACTAACCGGCTCCTCCGTCCTCCCCGACACGTCTCGCAGATACTTTCCTCTGATTCTCACTGTGAGAAAATGCTGGACTTCCACAAGTCCAATATCGAGGGAATCTGCTCAGCTGCCACTGCTCTCCCAACATCCACCCCCTCCCTAACCGCACCCCACACAATTACCTGTCCGACAATTACCCATCCCTCCTTCCACACCTTTCAACCTGTCACCCCCTCCTCTGTCTTCAACACGGTAAGCTCCATGAAGCCCACCACCTGCTCCCTCGACCCTATCCCCACCTCTCCTTAAATCCCAGCTCAGCCTCCTTGCCCCTCTACTTGCCAACGTCATTAACCCTGTCATCTGGCACTGTTCCTTCCCCTCTCAAAACAGCCACTATCAGCCCCACCTTGAAGAAACCTTCCCTCTACCCATCACAGCTATCCAGCTCCCGGCCCATCTCAAACCTCCCCTTCCTATCCAAGGTCCTTGAGAGAGTTGCCTCCCAGCTTTGCTCTTTCCTCTCACTCCCTCCATGAACCCCTCCAATCGTGTTTCTGCACTGCCCACGGACGGAACTGCTCTGGTCAAGGTCACAAACGACATCCTGACCATGTGTGACCAGGGCTCCCTCTGCCTCCTCGTCCTTTCCGATTCCTTTGACAACGTGGACCATTCGATCCTCCTCCACCGCCTCTCCTCCCACCTCAACCTTCAAGGTTCTGCCCTTGACTGGTTCAGGTCCGACCTTTCACACCGCCTCCATTTTGTCGCGGCAAACGGCTTCTCCTCCACCCCCCGCACCGTCTCATGTAGTGTTCCTCAGGGCTCTGTCCTCGGTCCCCTCCTCTTCACCCTCTACATACTCCCCCTTGGTGACGTCATCCACAGACATGGGGTAAATTTCCACATGTATGCGGATGACATCCAACTTTACCTCTCTGCCTCCACCCTGAACTCCAGGACTACTGGCGTCCTGACCGACTGCCTGTCCTACATCGAGTCCTGGACAAGGGACAACTTTCTCCAACTCAACGTCAGCAAGACCGAGGCCCTCCTGATTGGCCTCCGCACCTCGGGCACTGGCAGCATCAGCCTCCACAGCTGCACACTCAACCTCACTGCGCCAGTCAGGAACCCGGGTGTCTTGTTCGACCCTGAACTGTCCTTTCTCCCCAACATCCGCGCCATGACCGGCACTGCCTACCACCACCTCCGCAACATTGCCAGACTCCGCCACTGCCTCACCCCTCAGGCCCCCAAACCCTCACCCACACATTCGTCACATCAAGGCTCGATTATGGAAACTCCGTCCTCATCGGCCTTTCCAACTCTTCCCTTCACATCCTGCAGATCATCCGAAACTCTGCAGCTCGTGTACTCTCACACACCGGGCTCCGCGACCCCATCACTCCCACCCTCGCCCGACTCTATCACTCCCACCCTCGCCCACTCCACTGGCTCCCCATCCCCCAGAGGATCAAGTTCAAGATCCTCGTCCTCACCTTTAAGGCCATCCATGGCCTCGCCCCCTCCTACCTCTGACTCCCTAACAACCTGCCCACTCCCTCGTTCAGCGGTCTCCGGCTGCTCCATGTCTCCCGCCCGCCCCACCCTACCATCGGTGTCCGGGCTTTCAGCCTCTCTGCCCCCACACTCTGGAACTCCATCCCACGGTCCCTTGGCCTCGCTTTCCCTCACCTCCTTCAAGGCCGTCTCAAGACCCTTCTCTTCGTCCGTGCCTTTGGTCTCCCTCACACCGCTCTGCCTTCCCTCCCCCCTACTCCCCCTCCCCACTATCCCACCCCTCCTCCCTACCCCCCTCCTCCCTATCCCCCTGCACCACCCCTCCCCCCTACACCCCCCTCCCCCACCCCTCCCCCACCCTCCCCCCTCCCCCACCCCTCCCCCTCCACCCTACACCACCCCTCCCCCCTCCCCCCTCCACCACCATCCCCCTCCAGCCCCCTCCCCCCTCCCCCACCCCTCCCCCTCCCCCACCCCTCCCCCCTACACCTACACCCCCCTCCCCCTACACCCCCCTCCCCCTACACCACCCCTCCCCACTACACGCCCCCTCCCTCCTACACCCCTCTCCCTCCTACACCCCCTCCACCCCCTTCCCCTCTACAACACACTCCCCCTACAGCCCCCTCCCCTACATCCCCCCCTCCCCCCTCACTCTCTCAGTCTGCCTGTCTCTCTCTGTCTGTGGGTCTCTCTCAGTCTGTCTGTCTCTCTCTGTCTGTGGGTCTCTCTCTGTCTGTCTGTCTCTCTCAGTCTGTCTGTCTCTCTCTGTCTGTCTGTCTCCCTCTGTCTGTGGGTCTCTCTCTGTCTGTGGGTCTCTCTCTGTCTGTCTGTCTCTCTCAGTCTGTCTGTCTCTCTCTGTCTGTCTGTCTCTCTCTGTCTGTCTGTCTCTCTCAGTCTGTCTGTCTCTCTCTGTCTGTCTGTCTCTCTCTGTCTGTCTGTCTCTCTCTGTCTGTCTGTCTCTCTCTGTCTGTCTGTCTGTCTCTCTCTGTCTGTGGGTCTCTCTCAGTCTGTCTGTCTCTCTCTGTCTGTGGGTCTCTCTCTGTCTGTCTGTCTCTCTCTGTCTGTCTGTCTCTCTCTGTCTGTGGGTCTCTCTCAGTCTGTCTCTCTCTGTCTGTCTGTCTGTCTCTCTCTGTCTGTGGGTCTCTGTCTGTGGGTCTCTGTCTGTGGATCTCTCTCAGTCTGTCTGTCTGTCTCTCTCTGTCTGTCTGTCTCTCTCTGTCTGTGGGTCTCTCTCAGTCTGTGGGTCTCTCTCTGTCTGTCTGTCTCTCTCTGTCTGTCTGTCTCTCTCTGTCTGTGGGTCTCTCTCAGTCTGTGGGTCTCTCTCAGTCTGTCTGTCTCTCTCAGTCTGTGGGTCTCTCTCAGTCTGTCTGTCTCTCTCTGTCTGTGGGTCTCTCTGTGTCTGTCTCTCTCGTCTGTCTCTCAGTCTCTCTCTCTCTCTGTCATTCTCTTTCTCTGTCTCTCTCTCTCTCTGTCACTCTCTCTCTCACTTTCTTCATCTCTCTGTCTCTCTCACTCTCTCAGTCACTGTCTCTCTCAGTCTCTGTCACTCTCACTGTCTCTGTCTCTCTCTCTGTCACTCTCACTCTCTGTCTCTCTCTGTCACTCTCTCTCTGTGTGTCTCTCTCACGCTTTCTCAGTCTCTCTCTCTCTCTGTCTCTCAGTCTCTGTAGTGTAGCTGTGTACTGACTCTCTCTGTCTCCCTGTACAGAGTCTGTGTCAGATGGAAACCAGACGCTTGGCTCCGTTTCCCAACTGCCTTCGCCGTTCTCTCGCAGACAAGTTTAAAGAGTTTGACGAATACCAATTAGCCAAATATAACAGCCGGAGTCAGCGTAGCAAACGTGTACCAGTGAGAGCGAGACAGGTCCGAGCTCCGGCTGATCACGGTGACGGGTTATCTCGTGTGTGTGTGTGTATGTGTGTCAGACACTCGGCTGATCACGGTGACGGGTTATCTCGTGTGTGTGTGTGTATGTGTGTCAGACACTCGGCTGATCACAGTGATGGGTTATCTCGTGTGTGTGTGTGTGTGTGTGTCAGACACTCGGCTGATCACAGTGATGGGTTATCTCGTGTGTGTGTGTGTGTGTGTGTCAGACACTCGGCTGATCACAGTGATGGGTTATCTCGTGTGTGTGTGTGTGTGTGTGTCAGACACTCGGCTGATCACAGTGATGGGTTATCTCGTGTGTGTGTGTGTGTGTGTGTCAGACACTCGGCTGATCACAGTGATGGGTTATCTCGTGTGTGTGTGTGTATGTGTGTCAGACACTCGGCTGATCACGGTGACGGGTTATCTCGTGTGTGTGTGTGTGTGTCAGACACTCGGCTGATCACAGTGATGGGTTATCTCGTGTGTGTGTGTGTGTGTGTGTGTGTGTCAGACACTCGGCTGATCACAGGTCTGAATTACAGCGTCGCTCTGCCCCGAGTCCGGCTGATCTCACTCTGTGGAGTCGACTGCTGAATAGAAAGAAGTCACTGGTACAGAAACTGGTGAGTGATAAGTGTCACTCCATGTAGGTGGGGGTTGTGTGTGTGTGTCTGTGTGTGTGTGTCTGTGTGTGTGTGTGTGTCTGTGTGTGTGTCTGTGTGTGAGTGTGTGTGTGTTGTGTGTGAGTGTGTGTGTGTTTGAGTGTGTGAGTTTGAGTGTGTGTGTGTGAGTTTGAGTGTGTGTGTGAGTGTGTGTGTCTCTGTGTGCGTGTGTGTGTGAGTGAGTGTGTGTGTGTGAGTGTGTGTGAGTGAGTGTGTGTGTGTGAGTGAGTGTGTGTGTGTGAGTGTGTGTGTGTGTGTGTGTGAGTGAGTGTGTGTGAGTGAGTGTCTGTGTGTGTCTGTGTGTGTGTCTCTGTGTGTGTCTGTGTGTGTGTGTGAGTGTCTGTATGAGTGTGTCTGTGTGTGTGAGTGTGTGTTCTGTGTGTGTGAGTGTGTGTGTGAGTGTGTGTGAGTGAGTGTGTG